AGGGGAGGGGAGGGGCGGGGCTGTGCTCCCACCCACGTAAACTCCCTCTTCTGTGACTGCCTCCCTTCACACCATTTGCCCCATGTCTCTCCCTCTCTTTCCCTTCCTCCATTCTTCTATGTCTCTCCTTCTCTCTCTCTTTCTCCCAACCCCAATATCAAAAGCTAGATCTTTCTTTCACATTAATGTGTGACTTAGAAAAAGTTAAAGATGAAGGGAATTCTAGTTCTTGCTACTCCACTGTTGTCCACAGACCAGCAGCCTCACCATCACCAACCAGGTAACTTGCTAGACATTCAGATTCCCAGATCCCACTCCAGACCTACTCTCAGAATCTGCATTTTAATAACATCCCCAGGTAACCCATTTGCACTTTCACATTCTAGCAGCACTGGTCTGAAGATCCCCTAGCTAACACCCACATTGTACAGATCAGAAAAGTGAGGGGACGTGCTCAGTTAGGGCCCCCTTTGGTCACGGAGCAGTTAGAGCCCAGCATCCTGATTCCCACTTCAGTGTGTTACCTTTCCATCTAAAGTGTGCCCACTCCTGCGGTGGGCATCTTCACACACCATTGGTCTAACTTCATCCTTCCAAATATAAAGAACTATCTAGGGCAGGGATGGCGAACCTTTTGAGCTCGGCGTGTCAGCATTTTGAAAAACCCTAACTTAACTCTGGTGCCGTGTCACATATAGAAATTTTTTGATATTTGCAACCATAGTAAAACAAAGATTTATATTTTTGATATTTATTTTATATATTTAAATACCATTTAACAAAGAAAAATCAACCAAAAAAAATGAGTTCGCGTGTCACCTCTGACACGCGTGTCATAGGTTCGCCATCACTGATCTAGGAACAGGTCTGGCCTCCAAGGCCTGTGTTCCCTGGGGTTCTTCCTACATCTTAGAACAGCCTGGGGAGTGACATGCAGCAGAAAGTCTGAGGCTCTGTGGTCAGATTTCAGGCCGTGGCCAGCCACAGTGGGACGACTTGGAGGCAAGGCTCTGGATTTCTTCAAAACCCCTGTGGCAATCCTTCCAGTAGGTGCAGAAAAGGCTGGTACAGAACAGGTAAATCAAGGGAGTAGAAAAATCCAACTTTTAGTAGTTTTTAGACTCCTCTCACACCCAAGATCCTTTGAGGCCTCATGTAAGGATTATTCTTATGCTATCTTGGTAAGGACAAGGGACTTTCCCCAGGGGTCATGGGCTGGAGCTCTTGTTCTCCCAATCCCAGAAGGATTCTGTGCTTCCTGGTTTGTGTTGCGTTTCCAGGAGGCCAAGAAAATGACATCAGAAGAATCACCAAAAAACCTGCCTCCCAAAAAGAGCCCAAAGAAAAGCTTCTACTCCCTGTTTCATCCTAATATTTTGATCCCTATAAACTACAATGCTCCAGGGAGGGCATTCTTCAAGCAGCTTCAGGCAATTGTGCTTTGGGGGGAAAACTCAGAGTCTTTGTGAAAAGTAGGTTTCAATGGGGGTGGGGTTGTTATGTGTCATTGAGGTGGGAAAGGGGGCAGAGCTAGGAAGATGCAGGCACCAAAAACAAGCCTTAAACTGGACTGAAATAAAAGAAAGACACTCTGCCCTAGCTGGCTTGGCTCTTTGAATAGAGCAGCGGTCTTCTGGTCAAGGACATATGCGGGCTTGATCCCCAGTAGGGGGCGTGCAAGAGGCAGCCAATCAATGATTCTCTCTCATCATTGATGTTTCTATCTCTCCCTTCCTCTCTGAAATCAATAAAAATATTTTTAAAGGGAATAATCTCAGACCAAAAGCAACACAGGCAAGAGTGTGTTGAACTGGTAAACAGAAGGAATGTCACATTATGTCTCCCAGATGTTTCTCTCGTGGATATTGTTAGTGAAAGTCACTCACACTAAGCTCTCAAAGGCACGGCTAGTTTATTTTATGTATTGTTGTATATCTGGCACTTAAATAGGTTTTTGAACTAAACTAACTGGTCTCATTGGGAAAAGATGGAAGGACAAAGTAGCATCCCCCAAGAGAGTGTAAAGTATGTAAGTGAGAAGGATAGCAAGGCAGCTGGTTTGCTTGGACTGAACCCACAACTCTTAGAGTTTGAACAAATGTTGGTTCCTTCTTGCATGGCACATAGACTCTTGACTGGAGGTGATGATCAAAAGACTTCATGATGATTGCTATCAGGAAATGCGTTAAAACTCTCTGATCCTTGCCTGGCTGGAGAGAGATCATGTTCACAAACATGGGTTCTCCAGTGAGAGATTATTATATTGGTCTCCAGGTCACCCCTGCACTTCCCCAAATGTGGAAAACTCAACGCTCATTTGAAGTGGTAGGACTGTACCCACTCCCAGCTTTGTGGGTTCTAGTCCGGTTGCTTCTGATGGCCTGGAATTCTCTTTGTCTCTTAAAACAGAAAGATAAAAGAAATCCAGACATAGAATAAGTGGGGTGTGAGGGAGAATGAAGCCCAGGACCATGAGTCTCTAAACTGTTCTTCTCTCACCTGGTTCTTCCCACAACCCCTTTCTCAGCACAGCAGTCAAACAGTTTCTCTAGAAAATCAAGTGATGTCGGCTTCTGCCCCAAAGCCTCCAATTGCTCTCCTTTCCTCTAGAGTAAAAAAATCAACGTATTATAATTGCTTATAACAGAAGATATCTATTTTTTCACTTAGTCTCCTAAAATAATTTTTTAATTTTATGCACATTTTTGCATGCTTTTCAGTTGACTTCTAAAGTTTTTATCTTAAATTTAAATGCTTGGATATGTGTAACTTTTGGTGAGTTGTAAATACTGATGTTGAAAACAAAATAAGAATTAGAGCACTCATATGTATCCAGTGGAATCTACCACAGCCCCTCATTACTTTCCATAAATACTCTAAACAAATATATGAAGGAACTCTTCTTAACAGTAGGAGACATCGCATGGCTCCTTTTTCTGCACACACCCACACTTCCATTCCCACTTCAGAGTTTTATCTCATTGGAATTTATTGTAAGCTTGAAAATCTGTTATTGGTTGCTCTGAAATATGTCTCGGTAACAAAAAATATATGCATAAATTGAAATATTTTATTCTCTCCTGTTACTTTATGTGTACAAAGAAATTTCTTCTAGATTCAGTTACATTTATGATTACTTTTAATATATAATTTAGCAAAACAAGTAGATACAAATTTCACCAAAAATTTTAAGCAAGTCATTATCAACAGATAGGTCTAAGACCAGACACGGGTTTTGTTGGGCACTAATGTTTATAGACACAAAACTAGGAGCAAGGCCCTGGAAGAGGCCAATTTAAGTGAAGGACTCGAGCTTAAGCTGCATTAGCTTCGGCCTCTGGATAGACGGGGCTGCTTTGGTGGTGTCCCTCTATTAGCTCATGTGCCATTACTTACTATTCATATCATGCATTGCTACAATAAGACAGGGCTTCGCATCCATTTTAACCCAATTCTTTTACCCAGTTTCACTTAAATGCTGAGAAAACTTGTTACATAAATAAGTAGATGGGAACAGAGGGAGTTTTGTTCCAGTAATATCCTGACTCTTTAAGTTCCCTTGGCATTATATGCTAACAGACACATCATGAGCTGTCATTGTTATTTTTAATGATCTATCAGATGCTGACTCCATTAGGACTCCTAATGTGTTAAAAGCAAAGAAATGGAAATCACCCTAATTGCAAAAATCCATTCTGACTAAATTCACCTGCTTTCTTAACCTCAAGCTATGGTTTGTTTCAAATCATGCCTTTGTGTGGCAGCCTAGGGGCACTGGGCCCCAATAAGATTAGGGATGAATGAATGGGGGAAGATGGTGATCAAAGGGAAAAAGAAGAAGGAAAGGTGTGCCCTTAGGCAGACCATTATTAGGAAAGCATGATGGGAAAATTGAGACTAGAAACTAATTCTATTTAAACTGTTCGTGTGCCCGCTCATCCCTTGGAAAACCTTCAAATATAGCCAGTACCTATGCCCAGTTTGATGACTATCTGTGTTCCCCTCTCCACATCTTTCAGTCTTCATCCTCTGTTACTCTCAGCCTTGCTCTGGCCACACTGACCTCCTTGCTGTTCTTTGCATGCTCATAGATTTCTCTAGCCTTGGAGTCTTTTCCCAAACTGCTCAAAGTCACCTTTATAAGGAGGCTTTCTTCAATCACCCTATTTTAAATTGAAGTCTTACACACACACACACACACACACGCACACACACACACACACACACATTCAAATTCTCTATCTCCAAATACCCTATCTCCCTTCTTTTATTTTTCTCCATAGCACATATAGGTGCTCAATAAATAGTTGTTAAATGAATTCATTTTTCTGAGCTATAAGTTAGTGTGTCAGCAAAAGCTTTCCATGTTATAAGCCTGTGCTTGGGTGGGTAGAAGGGGAACTTCTACTCCTAATGGCGCTGCATTGCAGTGTGCCAGGAAGCAGTGTGGGAAGCCTATCGGATCTTTCTGGATCGCATCCCCGACACAGGGGAATACCAGGACTGGGTCAGCACCTGCCAGCAGGAGATTTTCTGCCTCTTTGACATTGGGAAAAATTTCAGCAACTCCCAGGAGCACCTGGATCTTCTTCAGCAGGTGAGTCTGAACGCTGTATGTTTGGAACGCTGCCCAGATAGCTCCCACACCTCCAGCCCCCACCCTTTTTTGACTCCGTTTCCATGGCAGAAGAGTTGGTGGAAGATATGCTTGGAAATACCTGACAAGGCCAACAAGAATTTTATTCTTGCAAAATAACAATGTACGTGAGGGTTGAAGTGAAGTTAAAGGGAAAGGGGGATGAAAATAGATTTTAGCTCTTCAGTTGACATTATCTCTTGGTAAAATTACTTTTCTATTTCTGCAGAGAATAAAACAGAGTAACTTCCCTGAGAGGTAAGTACCCAAAATAGAGTGCTGCATGCTCTTGACTTTTGAAAGCTAACATAATAGAGTGACTCAGCTATTGTATCTTTATGATGTTATGTCAGCCTCTGAAGTCTGTGTAGGTTAGTTTGACATGACAGACAATCTATACTTCTATTGTGCTACACATAAATGAATGTATAAAAGGGAAATGGTTAGATCTTATAGACTAAGATATACTAGGTGTACCGGTTAATAATGCAGATTTTTTTTCAATAGATGGAGTTACACATATGTTGATATATATGCGATTTGATATGTATGCTATTTTGTTGTATTGACAACAAGCTTCAAAAGTTCATATGTCAAATTTTCTGAAGGTGTTAACATCATACATATTTTTAGGCTTAAAAATGTTGAATTTCGTGCCAAAAAAAAAGAACACTATTAACCGGTTAATAATTAATCCACATTTTTAACCGATCAATAGTTAATCCACATTATTAACTGGTCAATAATTAATCCTCATTATTAACGGGTACACTTAGTATGTTTGCACTATTATCAGATAAAAGTATGTGATAAGTATCTAATGTGTATTTTCACTTATAAGATATCAAACAATTAAGATAGTATGGTTTTTAGAATTCATGATAAATTATTAGTTACATCAGGAAGATATTTAATATGATCAACAAGCAATCTGAATTTGGAATTCTTGTTTGGTATTCTGTTAAGTGTTAGTGTTTCTCAAACTAAATTACTGAAGCACTGAGCTAAATCCTCAACAAGAACAGAATATCAAATGCGAAAATCAAAATGTAAAAATAAAAAGGAAAAGGGAAAGTATATTAGATAAAATGATTAAAGAAGAGAGATGTCATTGCCAATTATAACCTCACAAATTACACATATTTTATAACAGAAGTCTAAGTATGAAGACAATGATACTACAAAGAGAGGCTGTATGGATTCCTGACAATTCTCTATAATGCTTTTCACATTTGTTCCTTTATTTCTACTCCCTTTGCCAACCATCTGGTCCAGGACTTTATTGATTTACACTGTGAAAAATGTCAAATCTGATCTCCCTAACAGCTATTGCTGGCTCTAACCTCTTCCCTACCTTAACTTTTATAACTGCTGAGGACTAATATATCTGAAATATTCCTTTTCCTACATTGAGTCCTGTTCAATGGCTTTCAAAAGATTCCCACATCTTTACTCTTTGCCCTTCTAAATACCCACTCCCCGCACTTCCTCACCCACCCTGTGCAGAAGTCTGAGCAGGGACTGAGTCCCTGGCATTTCGTGCCCTCTGACTGCTGGATTGGGCCAGCCAGTGGGGAACAGAATATCAGGAGGGGGAAGAATGGAATGAGGTGAGCAAATTTGTCACCTTCCCTCACCCCAACTTGCAAAGTCTTCGAGGCCTACTGGTCTCCTTCAGCTTCAGCCCAGTTCCTGTCAGGCAGCCCTCGCCACAGCCTTCTCTGTCTCTAGTTTGTGGTACCTGTTTCATCCTCTCACCCCTCCTGGCCAGAGTGCTCTAGCACCCACTGTTACCAGCCCCGGGCTTCTGCACCCTCACTTGTGGTTGCTCTTAGACTCGTCCCACAGTTTAGCAAGTAATCCCTTTATTAAATTTTTCTCAGAGTCTGAGTGAGACCTCTGTTAGCTGCCAGGACCTTCAGTGAGGCAAAGTCCAAACTAACTAATCTAGGCCCTTCAGGACCTGACCTTTCCAACTTTGCCTTTCCTTTCCCATGATCCCACCACTGCCACTGTGCCCTTCCCCAGGGCACACAGACCACACCCTCCTCCTCCCAGACTCTGACCCCAGGCCCTGTATCTTGGCTGGAAGAACCTGCCTTCCCCATTCCATCTCTCCAAACCCTGCTCCCCTTCCAAGCTCCCAGGGCAGTCCCACCTCCCCAGGATGTCTTCATCTGCAATAATTTCCCTGTGCTTGGAATTATGTGTTCTATTTGTCACTTGCATCATTACTTAGCATCTCCTTGCTTTACCCTGTTTCCCTGTGAGAGTGTAAACATCTCCAGGGCAGGAACTGTTTTATATTTCTCTACCAACTGCTACAGAACTGAGCAAAGTCCTCATATATTTATAATATATAATAGACCTCAATATGTCTATCTTGCTACACTTTTTTATGAATTTTTAAAAGTTATTGCCAGAAGCAAGAAGGTGACTTAGGAAAATATTAGTACTATTGTTCACAAGACACAAAGATATTGGCTCCTCTGATTTAAATATAGAATAATACTTACTGACTCCTACATTTCCCAAAAAGAAAGCAGAGGCCATTCCTAAGAAAAAAATCCAACAGAATGTAGCAAGACTCTATAGAAAAACATTTTAAACTATAGGAAACAATTATTCAAGCCAGAATTAGAAAAGAAATAGAATCATTCCATCTATTCCTGTGCCTGCCAGCATTGCTAGGGAGAAAGAAGGAAGAGATAAACATTTTACATTACCTGTGGTTACCAAGTTGTTGTTTAAAAGAAAAAAAAAAGAAAGAAAGAAGGACAGAAGCAGCTCTTTTACTTCCAACATTTCCAAGAAAACAAAACAGAAAAATTTCTCACCTGACTAGTCCATCAATCTGCCAGTTTCAAATGACATTAAAATAATGAAGAACCCAGCAGCCTGGCTTGCCAAATTGTAGATCCTCCATGATGGTCTAGATTGCCAGTGTAGTGGCAGAATCACACCTGCACAAAGCAGGCTGTTGACTTGTAGCTCATGCAATAGCCAGCATTTCACTAACTACTCTTCTTGGTTATTTTCTTTTGTACAATAAGGTAAAACAAGGATGCCAAAGTTATGACACAAGGAAGGAGACCTTGCTTTAAAGAAAGATCTATAAAATAAAAAAGAAAGAAACTTATCTAAATTTACAAATGCTATAATGATATTATGAGAGCTTACTAAGTATTACCTCCATAAAAACTATTAAACGCATAGCCTAATACCAGAAAAAGCAAACAAGAATAGCTAATTCCAAATTCCACTATAAAGTCTGAGTTTAATTTAGCCTATGTGCACCAATATAGTCATCCATGTTTACAACTGACATCCATTATGATTGGTTAGAGCCCGGGCCAGGTTGATTGATATATTTTGTACATTACCCCTATTAGCACTTCGGCAGAATTGATTGTGGCAGAAATAAGTCCCATTGGCTATGTGTCCAATCTGTATGAATTTACAACAACAGAGCAACTAGCCATTCCCTTTGTTTTTTCATCATCATGAGCCACAGAAAATTGAATCAAATATATTGGTCAACCATGACTATATTATACAAACAGACACAATCCTTTGATACTTAATAGCTTATAGTAACATCTTATAGTAAGTTTCAAAAGATATCACTACTGCTATTCCTTTCTAAATAAAGCTTACATTACATGCAGACAACTCAGTAACCATGGCCTTGGATCTGCCCTTAGAATATGTTCTGCATTGCCACTCCATGGCCCTGTGAACCTACCCACAATGCATGCAATGGTTATGTTCAGAATAGAGATTTAATACAACTGCATTATCCAGAACTCTCTCGCTATCCCATTACTGTAGCCACAAGTTACTTTATTGGATAAACTTACTGACTCTCTGCATTTGTAGGTTTGAAAGTCTGAGATTTTAGCAAGAATATTTCAGTCATGGACCAAGTCATCAATTATCTTTGATGTCAAGGGCACAGTTTAAGCAGAAAGGATTGTAAAACATCAGGCCCCCAAACCATCTTTGCTATCAGGGACAAGATCCCCAGGACCACGAAAAGCCAACATGCTTATGAAAAGCCCTGCAGTCAAACAACCATTTGGGGAGGGTTGTTTGAATTTTTCTTCAATTAAAATATATTAGAAGATTACTTCTGCAATGAAAAAATAAGTAAACCAGTTTTAAAGTATACTTTTTCTCTAATTTTTAGGTTTATTCAATATAGACGAATTTAAATGCATTCCCCCTATTGTCATGCTCCTTTTTACCACTTCTTCTCTATTTTGCTAACAGAAAAGATGAAATATCCACAGACGAGATATTAGGAGAGCCTGGTAAAACCCCCGTGTTTTCAACAGGTAAGCTTAGGTCTTATTCCATCTGCTTCTGAACCTTAATTCAAATCATCAGGAAAGCATGCTATTTGAAAAGCAATCCTTAATTGAAGTTGACAAAATTTATAATGTACTTTCTCAAAACTAGCTTGTATGTCTAACCTTATAAAGTAATTTAAACTTATTTTATGAAACTTGAAAAATCTAGAAAAGAACAAAAACAAAATCAAATTGTCCATTATTCTACAACTTAGAGGCAGTAATTACCAATACTTTCCAACAAAAAAATTCAGGATAAACCTCTGTCCATGCGTCCTTTATATAGTCACCAAAAGAAAAATTAACCAGGTCTCCTTAGGCAGAACCATTTAACTGAAACATATCTGAGAGAGCACCAAACTTGGTCCTAGAAAGGAAGACGAGTTGGGCGGAATAGTATTAGTTATATTTTGCTCAAGAACATATTTATGTGATCTTAAAATAAAAATGAGCTCAGCATGGATCTAACATATTTAAATTCCAGAGTGACAGAAAAAGCATGTGAAATGTTTTACCTTGTTCTAATGTCAACTCCTCTAGTCTCATTTTTGTGCCTGCTATTTTTTAAATTCCCACAGATGTTGCCGATGTCTCACTCAGGCCCTTCCCTCTCACTCCTGAGGACACACTCCTCAATGACACCAAGATGCCTACAACAGTAAGAAGTTCTGAGAGTCAATCCAGCTCCTCACAGGCCTTTTTTGTCTTAGTAAAATGGACTGGCTGTTCAGTATTATTAGTACTGCATTTTTATCACTCTAGTGAAGAGTCATTGACTTTGTTCTATTCAGTATGCTCACTTCTTCCTAGGGACTGAGGAGTAAAATACATTGAAAACTAGGGGTAAGGTGTGAGGAAGTGCAAGAAGCAACATAATTATAAACTCCAGGAAGGCAGGGGCTCTTTTCCCAGTGCCTAACAGAGCATTATATACAGCAGGTGCTCACCAAGTTTTAGAATGAATGAATGAATGAATGAATGAATGAGTCTTCCAATCAATCAGGTTCTTTCTCCACTGAAGTGTAATCTCCTGCTGACAACAAAGGTAGAAGTTTTGTGCTTAGTCATGTCCAGCAGGAAAAGGTGATATAAATATCAAAATGATCGAAATCCTTCATGTCAAATGGGGAAAAATAAAACCAGTGTTCTCAGGTAAAGAGGAGCACTGGCAACTGCTCTGTTTGAATCAAAAAAGCATGCAGGAGGAGAGAATTGTTACAGAATTTAATGTTGGTTATCAAAAAAAGGGGGGGCATCTTTAACCTTCCCAAAGGCTTTGATCCAGACACTCGGGGCTGAAGCAGGAAACAGTGGTGGAGTTGTGGCAACACAAGGTAAGCAGCAGATCCTCTCCGCCTTACAGGGCCACTGCGACCAGTTCCCCCAGCCCCTGTGGCCTGTGAGACTTCTCTAGCCCTTTCTTCTTCCAGATGGTGCGGGCAGGAAGTTCAGTCTCGCCAGCTCGACATGAAAATTCAGGGATGAGAATCCTGCTGGCCACTCTCTCCCTGGCCTTTAGGACAGATGGCCACAGATTTGGTGGGAGTATGGTTATGTACAAAGAATAAAAGGATTTTATTTTTCTCAAAAATGCTCTTCCATCAACAGTGAAAAGTGCTGTTGAAAAAAATTATTGAGATTAAATATATTCACTGTAAAATTTATAAGATAACTACAGTTTGCCTTCTCTTTTCTCCCATTACCTGTGTCCCACCTTCTTTAAAATTTAATATACGTCCCTCATTCTGCAGTAAATATCTCCTGAATATTTTATTTCACACTCATCGCATCCTCCTCTTAACGTCCTTTTTACCAACTGCATCTATTACTTATTCTTTCATTCAGCAAATATTTAACTGAAATTCCTACCTTTAGGAAATTTATAATGCAAATAAGTACAACAAAATAGTCTAAGTGCAATGATTGAAGATGACAGATGTATAGACTGGGACTAATCACAGGCTGGGACAGGTTGCAAAGGACCTGACCCCAAATCATGTATATTTACTGAGAGTTTTATTCATAAATGGCCTCATGTGTGTGTTTTTTTTTTTATTTGGGAGAGTCCATGAAGTGTGAGAATCATGCTGGACTCAAGGAGATTATATGTGGGATGACAAGATTAGCACAGGGGTGGGGAACCTTTATTCTGCCAAGGGCCATTTTGATATTTATAACATTATTCACTTAATATAATTCACTTAATATAAATTTATGCTGCTATGAAAGTAAAGCAGATTTATTAAATTTTGAGTCCTGCCTGCGGTTGCCTTGGCAGTCCCAGACCAGATGATTTTCCAGGCCTTACATTCCCACCCCTGCTCCAGGTGAATACATCATAGGTACCAAATGAGCAATTCAGATGTTATTCGCTGTTCTAGAAGGTCAGAGGAAAGGCAAAGTTTTCTGACCTAGATGGTCAGAGGGGGTAGTTCTTTTAATGGACTATAAGACTAGGAGATATCTGTAAGAAGTAAAAAAGAATGTGTATATGAAGTAAAGTGTGTGTGTGTGTGTGTGTGTGTGTGTGCGCGCGCGCTGTTGCTGGAGGGGGTCATGTGGAGCAGTGAGGAGGGTCTTTAGTCAGGAGACTGCACAGCAGTATAGTCCTCAGCAAGAGTGAATGGAGCTCCCTGCATTGGGCAGGGAGAAGTGAGACAGACCAAAGCTGTTCAAGCAGATCGGCATCAGATGGTGGCGAGTCAAATGTCAGGAAAAACAGTTTGGGTTTTATCCCATAGGTAATTAGGACGTCACTGAGGGTGCTGGGTGAAAGGCATAAAACATTAATAAGTGGTTGAAGGTAAGTTACAAAACTTCTCACTAATACATCTAAAGGATTTACTGAAATGTCTCTTATGAACTTCCTATCTGCCTAATGGAATGGTAAGCTTCTAGAGCAGTGGTTCTCAACCTTCCTAATGCCTCGACCCTTTAATACAGTTCCTCATGTTGTGGTGACCCCCAACCATAAAATTATTTTCGTTGCTACTTCATAACTGTAATTTTGCTACTGTTATGACTCGTAATGTAAATATCTGATATGCAGGATGTATTTTCATTGTTACAAATTGAACATAATTAAAGCATAGTGATTAATCACAAAAACAATATGTAATTATATATGTGTTTTCTGATGGTCTTAGGCGACCCCTGTGAAAGGGTCGTTCGACCCCCAAAGGGGGCTCGACCCACAGATTGAGAACCACTGTTCTAGAGGCTAACACCATATGCCATATTTTTTCCAATGTCCCATAGGTCCTAGCACTGTGCTACACCCACGCAGATGCTCAGTGTGTATCATTTGAATGATTAAATGAGCAAGTGGATGGATGGATGGATGGATGGATGGATGGATGGATGGATGGATGGAAACCTTCCCATTAAACAAATACCAGTAGCCTGGTAGGTGTAAATACACATCCTCCGCGTGTCCTATTAAAGTGAGAGGCTGTTCTGCTGTTCACTGCCCGTGGAAGAAGGAGTCTGTGATAAGAAATGAGGAGAAGCTACATCACCACCACCCAGATGAGTTTTGCCTCTCATGGCATTTTCCATTGGTTGTGCCTGTCTCTCAGCTTCCACAACTCTACTATCACTATAAGAAACTGTACGTTACCAGAGACAGTTGGTTTTCCACAGACACATTTTTTACTCTTGGGAGGAAGCTGTGCAGATCTCAGGATTGTGTGGGTACCCAAGACTGGAAATCTGTCCAACCCCAAGTTTGAAACACTGCTCCAGGTTTATTCTGTGCCCTGGGAGCCCATGTGAGTGGAGAACAATGAGAGACTCCTGCTTGTTCTCAAACCAAAGGACAAAAAGGATGAACCCTGGCCCTTTGTGATCCTCAGAACAGCACTGCTATTCTCAGCCACATGCTTTCAAAGGTGGCCCAAATATGCCATTTTCTCTGAGAGAGATTTCACACCCTCCCTTGACTTGACAGTGCTTTCTAACCAGTTTCAGTATGAAATTTAAGCACAAAGAGTCTTATTAAACCAGTCTAGGCTCTTCTCTAAAAAGGGTTATATTAAATAATACCAGCGTCCATAGGTTATTTTGTATAATCCAATCCTTATCAAAGAGTGTTTATAAAGTTACAAAAGTGTGTGGCACAATCCTACTGATGCTCCAGCAAAATATATGAATTGTCTGTGTGTGTGTGTGTGTGTGTGTGTGTGTGTGTGAGTGTATGAATGCTTTCATGAAGAGCACAGTCATAAAATGACTATGTTCTCAAAGATTCTAAGTAGTTCATTCATTGGAGCTTTGGTGCTTTGTCTCTCAGTGAAATTCACAGGCCACTTCTAGTTAATAGGACTTTCATTCTAAAAATACTAGAGCCTTCATTATCCAATTCTTGAGACAAAATCAATATATGTTGTATAATATTACCATTTGCTTGTGATGTATATTAATAGAAGACCTTTTTAACTTAGGAAAGAGAAATGGAATCCTCTGAGGTGTCCGAGGGCCCACCAGAGCAGAAGGTGGGGCTGAGCATCTCCCTGGCAAACCAGAAGTTCAAGGCAGAGCTCGCTGATGCCCACTCCCCATATTACCAGGAGCTGGCAGCAAAGTCTCAACTCCAGGTGCGTGAACCACAGCTCATGTCTAGACTCAGAATCTGGGAGCCAACAGGAAACAAACCTTTTTGGTTAATAATTCCACCTTCTTGTGATCAGGCATGCATTTTTAACCATTGCAAAATAAACAAATACACCGAAAGCTGCAATGGGTCTCAACATGTTAGGAAAAAGTGGCTCTCCAGGGAAGTTTCCCATTCCAGCTTTTCCACCTTACAAGTCGGTTACATTTAGATTTTCTTCATATAGTAATAGGTTTTAAATCGCATTTAGCGGAAAGCCACTGAGCAGATATTCTAGATGTCTAAAATGTCCGTGTGGACACCAGCTAGGGAACATGCTGGGGTGAAATATGAATTTTGAATCCATACTACCTTGTCTTCCATAATATTTCCACTTTTGCCGTCTGATGCAGCTTAAAGCCATGGCATTTTTCATGGGTGACAGGCAGAAGGCAGTTATGTCATCCATGACATCCAGCACTAAACTAAGGACCTGCCCCAAGATGTCTCTTCCATCTCTGACCATCATCCTATCTGCCTATCCCTGATCAAATTAAACGGCTCTTCATTCCCTGCAGGAGAATCCAAACTACTCTGCTGAACATGGCAGCTGAATATCATAAGACACTGCCTTTCTTCCCAGACTCATCTTAACACCAGTTCCTTACCATCCCCCTCCTTTGCACTCTACTTTCTCACTGTTAGTCTTTATAAGTAATGCCTCCTCCATCTGGAATGCCCTTCCCTGAGATTCATTTTGCAAACATCATGAAAAATTCTCTCTACCCATTCTGGGTTCACTCCTCTGGGCTAACGCCTGGGGCCCACTGTTGTCATAGCACTATTACTCTGTCTTGAGATTGTTTGTTTATATGTCTATGACCTCTGTTGTCTCCATTCCTCCCTCCTTGCCCTCCCACCACCCTCACTAACACCAGGCTATGAGCTTCCCCTTAAGGGCAGAAACTGTTGCTTTCATCTCTGTAGCCTTACCTCCTAAGACAGAGCTTGGGATGCAGTGACTACTCAGTACCTGTTTGTAGAAATTCAACTGAAAATAGAAGCATCCATGAGATTACAGAACTGTGAACTCTGTTTATGGACAGCCCAAGCATCTTATTGAGCAAGGCCAGGGAACAAACAGGCCCCTACTTCTCATACTCCAGTGCTTACCCCCTCTCAACTGGAGAAGAGCTAAGAGAAAAACATTCATAACCTCCAACCTCTCCCAGCATCAGCATAGTCAATAAAATGTAGAACATCATTTCTACAAACTTCAAAGAGAAAGCATCAGCATGGGGTATTTACGAACCAGAAAAGTACTTAGACATGGACTATTAGATAGAATGCATTTTTAAAATAGTCTGTTATCTTTTCTATTTGCTCTTTGGAATATTCTCTTCAGCAAATCCTTAGCATAGTCAGGGTAATGTCAGAATTGGATAATTGGCCATAGACTGTCTTCACTTCACCTGTGAATTTTCTAAGCACCTAAAACTACCTGATGTGGAGTAATACAATTAAATTATAATTTTTTAAAGATCTTAGTTGTAGTCTTGTTTCTGCCAAGAAATAGCCATAAAGATTTGGGGATCACTTCCCTGACCTTAGATTCCTCATTTAGAAATTAAAAATGACCTCAAAGTCCCTTTCAAAATCTACTTCTATGTAGAGAAATAATACCACTGTACTGGTCTTAATGTTTTATATGTATTAAATCATTTCATTTTCACACAAATCTATAAGTTAAGTGATATTATTTCTATTTTTTTTACAAGTCAGGATACTGAGGCAAGTGGAAATTAACTAAATGCTCAACAATGTCATACTAGTAACTGGCAGAGCCAAGACTCAAACTCAGGCAGCCCGGCACCAGAACCCCTGCTCTTAGCCACTATGCTCTAATTCCTATTTTTCCCAAATACACATATTTATGAGGAGAGGATTTTGTATCATTATCAAATAAACATGCCCTTCTAGCCTCTGAAATATTCATTAGTCAAGGAAGAGTATATCTCACTTGGTCTGGTTGCAGAGACCTGCTGGTTCCATTGCACAGGTCTCTGGCTTCTCTCAGATGGACCCCCTCTGCTTCGAGCATCTGTTCCCCTCCCAGGCCCCTGGGTAGTCTGGACACCTCAAAGCCAGCCATCACATAACCAACCAGCCTCACCACAGCCCAGCACTTGCATTAGCACAGTCATTTGGACCTAATCGGGAATTAATGGGCAGTGCTTTGCAGTAATTTAATTTCCACAATAAACTTAATGAGCAATTTAATACAGATGTCAAAAGGAATGCATGGTTGTTGTCTGAATGCTTTCTCCTGTGCAAACATTCAGGAGAGCTCCACACAGCTGCCTTTTTATAGCCCCGTTAACGTACATTCCGGCGGAATCCGGGAGGCCCCAGTGCATTTAGTGTTATTAATAAGGTCAACTGGACACTTAATTAGTAATTTAGTGGTTAGTGCTCCATGATTGGAAGGTTCCCAGAAGATTATTTACCAGAATTAACTGAAGGCCTTTGTCATCTCCTCCCTAGATGCCTCCCGCACCCTCCTAAGCAAAGCTGCTTCTGAATCCATCAGAGACAGGTTCACAAAGAGGACACAGGCACAGGCAATAAACCCCCCCGCATTGGAGCCTCTGCCGTGAGCGCCCAGGAGGGGAGGACAGCTCTCCCGGCCATGCACCCTACTGCCTAAGCTAATAGCTGTGGGATTCCACGGGAGCCATTCTGTGCTTGATTGATTGTATCTGCACGCATCACAGCATCTCTGGTATCCTGGACGAGAAAGAGAGATGAGTTGGGGTCTGAATCTTCTGCTCCCGAAACTATAGCTCATTCTTCAACATCCAGTCCTAGGTGGGTAACTGGGATGGCATGACCAACTTTGTGGCTCAAAACTAGTTGTCACAGGAGACCAGAGCAGACCTGAAGCATGGACACAGCTCTCTCCCACCTGCCCCATTATAAAGACCAGCTCTGCAGAACCCAATCTCCTAGCTAGCTCATGGTGGGGTAGGAGTGACACCACAGAAACTTATTTCAGGCCCCCTGTCGATGACCGCTATAGGGACCCTCTTCCTGTCCTTCCCTGCACTGAGTCTTTCTAAAACAACTACTGAAGGCTTACTCTGCCCCTGCCAGGCTCTGTGCTGTGTGGCCCTGGAGGAAGTCAAAGATACCGGGGCAATCAAGGAGCTAGTAACCCAATAGGAGACTAGTAAATAGACAAAATATCGCTACCTCTCTCCCCTCTGTGTGTCAGGTATGTGTTAGTTATTCCTTACAGCAGCCTTATGATATAGGTGTTATTACCTCATTTCGGTTAAGGGAACCAAGATTCAAAAAATTAAGTAATAAACTCAAGGTCATACAACTAGAAAGTTGAGAACCAACATCTGAACTCAAGCTTATACATTTATCTCCTCATCACTCAAGCTTATTCATTTATCTTCCTCACTGTAGTTGCTACACACAAAGTATTTTTAAATTGATGCAAGAAAATATGACTAAGAAGATAAATCTGCTGAGAAAAAAAATCCATGATACATTCCAAAGCCCAATGTAAGTGATTTGGGGATTATCTGTGCATCACCGCTCTAGTCCTTGGCATAGATAATGAGGATTTGGCAGTAATTTTAGATACAGTGACAATGCAGTGGCATGTTGGTGAGTTTAGACAGAAAAGATGCACTCAACTTGATTAAACAAAATGTGCTGAGTCCCTACTATGTGGATGACAATCTGGTTGGCACTGGGAAGGAGAGAGATAAAGATGAATAAGACATGATCCCTGAGCCCAAGGAGTATAATCTCTGTGAGGGACACACATGCACCTCCCAGGCAGTTTAATGGAAAATACAATAATATGTCCTAGAGTGGTAGGGAGAAGAAATAATTGAACCTGACTTCAGGGCCCTACAAATACTTTTCGATAGAAAAGATATTGGAGCTGGCCTTGAAAGATGGGTCGGGGGAGAGGGGTGGTCAATGAACAGAAGGTGGAAGATGCACCTTGATCTAAAAAGAAAAAAATGTATAGATGTCTGGAAGAAGTACACAGTGTATTTGGGGAGGGACAGTGGTGAGTTTAATGTGACTAGAGGAGACAATATTGGCCAAGGGGGTAAACGGCAGAAAGTGCAAATGGTAAGGTACCTGGGGAGAGAGGGTAAACTGTGAAGGGCCTTAAATGCCATTCTGAAGTATTACTAGTAGATCTTAGTCAATGGGCAGTGCAGCCCATCAAGAGATTTTTAGTGAAGAGTGACAGATATGGAATGATCAACTTGGAAAAATATTGTAGTCAAAAAGACATCTCCCCATTTTCCCCCACCCCAACTCATAAAAAAAGAGAGAAGAAGAAGAAGAAGAAGGAGAAGAAGAAGAAGAAGAAGAAGAAGAAGAAGAAGAAGAAGAAGAAGAAGAAGAAGAAGAAGAAGAAGAAGATTTCTCTTCCCTTCCCCCCACACACCCAGAAAACCATTTTGGTAATACAGAAAGGGCATTAGGGAGGGGCATGGGAATAAGAAGAATATGATGGAAACAAAAGGCATGTAGGATTCAAACAAACAGGCGAGGTGACTGGATGTGAGGGGCACAGAGGAGAGGTATCGGGATGCTGGGCTCTCTGGCATGGAAGGTGAAGGGTGTTCACAATCCTGACTGAGACAGAGCACCCAGGAGGAAAGGCAGACTTGGAGGAAGAGAATTACCCAGGTTTGCGATTATGTAATTAGTGACAAAGGTTGGGATATTTATGTGGAGAACTCCAAGTTGTATGTCAGGTGGCCATTGAAGCCATGGGAGAAAATGGGATCCCCAAGGAGAGGCAGAGGGAAGTGGGCACAGGGAAGGGAGGACAAGGCCAAGGCCCTATTCACCTCTTCAGCCTCCCTCACGGTCACCCTGCTCTCCCTCCCACGCTTCACTGCTAGACTGCCATGTCTTCCTCTTGGTTTTGCTTGCCTCCCAGGCTTCATACAAGAAGGAAGGATAGGTAGTGCCTGTTCATCTACATGACAATGTCCGGAGAGCCTAGCACAGAGTCCATAGTCGAGCTAACTGAATAAATGGGAGAGTGAGTGAGATGAGGTTGAGGACGCAAACTTGCAGAATCCTTACAGTTTCAATGGAGAGTGAAGACAGGAATAGGATAAAGACTGACAGAGTTGTCTGAGAGATGAGAGAAGAACCAGGGGGGAAAAGGCAGGGAAACCACGGAGAAAGAAATAAAAATGTCTTAGGATTTGGAGAGAGGCGAGACAATGGCCTAGAGAGAACCTTCCCTCCTGGGGATTGAGGGGCAGAAGCAAGACTATCGTAGGTCGGGAAGTAATTGAGTATAACAATTATGAAATATTCTGATAATATGCCTCATTAGCAAGGTCAAATTAAATGAGAAAATGTATTGTAATTTCACATAAATCTAAGAGCCAATGTAATATATTACATTAGAATCTGCTACTAACATTTTATTTAGGTAATTTGACTTTAATAATTCCTTTAACACTGTAGATGTTTCCAAATCATATAGCTCAATTCAGAAAATATTATAGCTACTCTGTGTGTATAGATAAAAATACTGCGGCCAAAAGATTTTCTTCCGAGTACCAACTTGAAGTTGTTTCATGTTTTATGTAAAGTAACCACTAAAGCAAGTCAGAACTATCCAATTACAGCTTTCCAGCTTTAAAATAAATAGCAAAACACTTTCCTCCAGGTTTCTGAAATAACTAAGAATAAATCTGGCCTCATTATATCCATTTTTATTTTTTCCCCTAACTCATCAAAAGTATTTAGTCACTTTCCGTTAGTTAAGACCTTACCCAGTAGAATCAAGGTGTATTTCATAATTTTTTTCTCTCTACAGATGCAAAAGGTATTTAAGAAACTTCCAGGATTCAAAGAAATTCATGTGTTAGGATTTAGGTAAGTAAGAGAGCAGGACTCTTATCAATTTTTAAGTTACTTTCTTCCTAGCCTCTTTTAAAGGTGATGTCATGAGGATTATAAAGTCTCCTTCCCCCCAATTATTTTAGCTCTGTCAAATCCCAAAAACTGAATACATTTCAGATAAAGGAATTATCTAATTAGAACCTGACCCTAGGTCAGAGGTTCTCAACCTTCCTAATGCCTTGACCCTTTAATACAGTTCCTCATGTTGTGGTGACCCCCAACCATAAAATTATTTTCGTTGCTACTTCATAACTGTAATTTTTCTACTGTTATGAATCATAATGTAAATATCTGATATGCAGGATGTATTTTCATTGTTACAAATTGAACATAATTAAAGCATAGTGATTAATCACAAAAACAATATGTAATTATATATTCAATATGTTTTTTCTGATGGTCTTAGGCGACCCCTGTGAAAGGGTCGTTCGACCCCCAAAGGGGTCTCAACCCACAGGTTGAGAACCGCTGCCCTAGGTGATGCTTTAAGGGGTAACACAGGAGCTGCGTTCCTTTCTCCCTCTGGAGTCAGAAACATGGCTCTCTCAGAAAGCTCAGCTGCTATCCTTGGCAATGTTATTAACAAACCTTTTAGAAAAATTCCTCAGTACAGACAAGTCAAAAAAAGTAGCAATTGGTGTCTGATTGCCTGGTTGCTTATCGATGCTAAAGATCATCATTGCTTAAACCAATCAAGTGTGGTGGTGGCCAGAGGGAAGGGGTTGGGGGGAAAAGGGAGTCCTAATGTATGGTGACAGGAGAAGATTTGACTTTGGGTGATGGGCACACAGTGCAATATACAGATCTTGTAGCATAGAAACCCACACCTGAAACCTGTATGATCATGTTGACCAATGTCACCCCAATCAATTTAAGTTAAAAAATAAACAATTAATTAATTTTAAAATTTGAAACAATAAGTAAATAAAATAAACAAATCAAGCTGAACCAAGAGAGCTAATAACAGTGGTGCCTACAGGGGAGTGGGGTTGGAGGAATGGGGTAGACAGAGACAGGGGTGGAAGCAGGACTTCCCAAAATATTTTATGTTATTTTGACATCTGAACCATAATAATATATAGTACCATGCAAAAAATATTAAATGAAAAAGTATAATAATTATAAAAAATTTTTAAGTGAAAATTTTCAATAAAAGAAATGAAATAATCAAATAGTGCCACACTGCAGCAGGGTCTGATCATATTCCCTTGGCAGGTCTATATCCAGCAGCACCTCAACATTCTAATGTAGGTTCATAATTTTTGGCAAGATTTGTGCATCTTTTTCTTAAGTTCTCATTATTCAAAACATCTACAAGCGGGGCCACATATGTTTTACTTTTTTTCTTAATGCTCCGCAGCGTAAACATCAGCCCTGGTATGCCAGAGTGTGATTCCATGCCGGAGGGGATTTGTAAAGTGGGTAAAGCAGGAGTCACCCAAGTCCTTCCCGGCTCCCTTACCGTCTATGGTCTTAAAGCAAAAAGGTGCCCAGAGCCAGGGCGCCACACACTCACAAAGCATTCTTCTGGGGGAGCTCCACCAGTTTATTTCTTTTGAAGTTATCAGGCCCCCGGATCTGCATAATTCCAAAGGAAGGAAACATTGAAAAGTGAACGTTATAAAAGATGAAACCCTTCCTATTTACCAAAGCAGACTTGTTTTTCTTTATTTCAACATGCCGCCCCACAGTATTCCATGTGAAATCAGATGGATTAAAAAATAAATAAAAGGTGATAGGAGGATATTCTGCATAGATGGCAAGGTCTTCTGGATAAACCACTGCAGTTAAAGAACAAATTTTTAATTTAAAGCTGTTAAATGATAGGAACGTTTTGGGACTTTTTTGGTGAATGTTCAAGTGCTCATTATTTCCTCCTTTCAAATAAATGAAAACTAATAATAACAAAAAAATATATTTCAGAACAAAATAAAAATGTTAGGCTGATTAAATTTTCAAGGTAAAAAGTTTAAAGATATATCCCTTGAAGCTGCATCTTTCCCATGTGTTTATCTCTGCAAGAATTTATTCTTATTTCTTCCAAAGATGCGTATAAACTAAGTTTGATCACATTTTTCCAATGATTTTTATTATGTAATAAAGATTTAGTCTCCAAGAAGGAAAACACATTTGACCCGAATACTATAAATGCTATGCTGTGAGTACCACAAACTTTTAATCATTAATAACGATGCTCAGCATACTGTAAAGTAAACTCATTATGAGGAAATTGCTTTCTCATGGAGCCAGGTCCCTACAGAAGGCCTAACACCCTATGTCTCCTAGTACTGTCTTCACGTCCACTCATTCGTATAAAACCTGATCTACAATGTAATAAGTGCTTTTATATCAGTAACCTCATTCGAATATCTCAATACAACTGGGAACTAGTTAGGACATCTATTATTAACACCATTAAAGGGATGAACAGTGAAAGATTCACGTTATATGTTGCTGTATCTCTTAAAGCCTATATGGGAAGCTATTAACAATCATTCAATCTCGTTGGAGGGTATTCTCCTTCAAAGACTCGCACACCAGTGTCCATGGCAGCATTATTTGTAATAGCCAAGAACTGGAAACAACCCAAATGTCCATCAACAGAGCAATAAATAAACAAATTGTGGCATATTCTTACCATAGTCTACTACTCAGCAAAGCAACTATTGGAATACACAACATGGATTTGCCTCAAAATAATTAAGTGAACAATGACAGATCAAAGGGAGTACATTATGATTCCACTTACATTTAACTCTAAAAAAAAATGCAGTTGCTTGGAGAGGGTGAGGCAGAGAAGGAATGGAGGGAAGGATTACACAGGGGTACCAGCAAGCCTTTGGGTGATGAAATGTGCTCACTATCTTGATTGCCATAATTGATTCGCTGGTGTACAGGAGTGTCAATCTTATCAAATTGTATACCTTCAACATGTGAAGTTTGTTTCATTGACAATTACATTTCAATAAAGCAAGCTTTAAAAATGAGCAGGACTGGGGTCTTAGCCCCGAAAGCCTTGGCCTCTCTCAGCAGCATCATGGATTACAACTATCACTGAAAGAAAGCAGGAGGCCAGCTCTGGATGAATGTCAAGTTAGTACGGAAAGAATTGCCTCCCCTCAGAGCATCCCAGTGAGATGGTCATAGATTCTCTCTTGTGTTCCCAGAAGGAAAGAGAGTCCATTCAATCCTGTTACATCAAGGGATGAAAGCAACATGAAACCCCATCCCCCGTGTAGAGTGCCTTTGTTGGCAACTCTCATTTGCAATGAAAAAAACTGAATATAGCTTCTAAATTAAATTCATATGTTTATTTTGTAGGAGTCCAAAATGTAGTTGTCAGTTTAGTGACTAAATGACCTTTTTGCAGGCATGAGTGGGTGGTCAGGCTTGAGGTCAGGCAGGCCAGGATTTGAATCCTGGCTCTGCCTCTTTCCACTGACAAGTTCCCTCTCTACCTGTTTTCTGTGAAATAGGATTCATTGTGCTGTTGAAGAGATTTAAAGAGGATGCAAGTGAATTGCCTGACGCAGACCACCCATTCAGTTAACAGCTGTTTGTTTTTCTTGCAACCAGGTCCATGGTGAATTGTACCATTCCCTCAAGGTTTACTGATTACAGCAATTCAAAAAACAATCTTCAACAAAACAACAGCTCCAGAGTCCAGCCTCAGATAAATTACCTTCAGAATTAAACTAAGCATTTAATGCTATTCACAGGGTCCAGAAATTAATTTATAAAATACATTTTAAAAACTTCCTGGCACCAGCACCACCCAAAACTGTAAAGATGTATAGGATATATTTGCAGTCTTTTTAGGAGGAATATGAGCAACTCAAAGAGTTTAAGAAGACCAAAAGTACATATAATCTTTGAAGTAAAGCTCAAATCCTAATCGGAAACATCAGATCATGATGTTTACTTTCTCAGATGTATATGGTTCTCAAAGTTTCCATCCAAATTCTGATAAGAATTTATACATTTCCTTCAAAGCTTTGGACAAATATGGAAGATAATGGAAAGAATTTTTTGTATATGAAATGATACATTGAATGTCTCCATAAATTTCATAAAAATTTTTACTTCCTTGCATGTTACCATTGTGCATGATGAAATGAAGACCAAAGAAAGAAAGAGATGGGTAATTTGGACTTTTCTTTTTAATTTAAATTCTTTATTGTTTAAAGTATTTTTAACTTTTCTTTTAATATTTTGAAATATAGTACTTTTTTCCCCATAAATGTACATGCTGATCTTTTGCAAATAATGTTTACATATAAAGTCTAGGATAACTCAATGATTTTTTAATGGTTTCTTATTTAAATTGGAGTAACTGACCCATTATTCAGTAGTGGGGGGTGGGGGGTTAACTCTCAAAATCACTCCATGAGATAAAACTCAAAATCTAATTAGAAAAACATAAAGGCATTTAAGGGTGATGCAAGCATGCTTCACAAAAATGTCATTTATGATAGGAAGTTGTCTGCCTGAATGCATACTTGTACATGAAACTAACCTGTCTGGATTAAAGCCGAGAAACTAATTTGCTCCTTGGTTGCAAGGTCATTTGACCTGGGAAAGGGCCCACTAGATCTAGGAAAGCTCAGTAATAAGAATCCACCTTTGGCTCCTATAATTGACTAGTGAGATAATGAACTACAGACTGACTGATTGTGTGGCCCAAAGAACTGCCAAGGATACACATTATCAGTTCCTGTGGCCTTTAAAACACTTTGCATCCCGCTGAGTGGACTTAAACGAGAAGGTAAAACCTGATCTTAGAGGACATAGTTACAGAGAATTTGATTTGATTTTTACATGCAAAAAGGCATTGAGTTAATAAATATTATAATAAATATGCTTAATCATATGCTACTTCCCTTCCTCCTTTCTCACACCTTCTTTCCAAGATGTTATTTTTAAAGCACCTTGGGAGAAAGATTATGTTTAATTTAGGGGTTTTAATTTTTAATTTGTAAATACTTCTTGGAAAAAAAGTAGAAGAGAAATATCTTCTTGATTCAGTTAGTATCCCCTCTTTAATGTGGACTTAACCCTCATCCTGACATTCTAATTTAGAACTAAAATACATGTCAATTTTTTGTCACATTTCAAATTTTTTATAAACATTGAAATTACTTAGGAAGTGGGATATTTAAGAGGTTGCAGCTGTCCTGAAGCTTTGTAGCATCATAGTAACCATCTTACCAAGGCATAGAACAATGGCCTTGAGTGTGACGTGTCCTCTGCTTCTACAGTTCAAGCTCCATAGAGGTGCGACTTATGGCCATCTTTAAAAGAGACAGTGCAGAAGCAAAAAGTCCTGCAAGTGACCTGCTGTCTTTTGATTCCAACAAAATTGAAAGTGAAGGAGTCCTTTATGGGATGACAGAGGACAAGCAACAAGAAACCTATCTCACAGCTTTAGACCTCAAAAAGCTGATCAGCAGAGCGCTACAGGAAGACAAATCCTTGCACGTGGGGACAATTCAGTTCACTGACAGTCAGTTGGCAATTTCATAGTTCTGGGTTTATCCTCATTCTGACAGAGAGACTAGGAGTTGTGAATGTGTCATGGTCACTGTCATTTTTATTGGGCCTTGTAGAATCTATCATTTCTGTGACAGGCGCATCACGTATGGTATCATTTCTGTCTTTCCTCACTCCAACCTGTGTCTCATTTGATGAGCCTTTGGTGACCACTTCACACCAAGAATAGCTCTAGGAGAAGCCAAGAATGTCAGTCAAGTCCAGTTCGACCACCCAGTAGAGCCCAGGGAGAGAGAGTAACCCCTGGACAGTTCTGTTCCCCTGGCAAAACCCAGATTCCCTTATTAGTAATTGATCAATTCCCAAAAGGAAACAGATGGCACATTCAAATTAGGGTCATGTGAGACTAGTTTGATAAAGGGATTATTTATAAAGGTTTCCCTAATGTCCAAAGGAATAGGACAGTTCCTTGGGCCTAGAAGCAGCAAGGGCCCATTACGACCTCCTGGCCTGAAGGGTTGCCTAATGAACTAAGCCATCCCAAAAAACAGAGGGCAAGCAATCATTGACATATCCCATATAAGACAACCTCCTGGAGCAGAAAGTAGTGGGAAGAGAAGAGGAGTGTGGATCTAAAGAAGTGAACCAGATAATCAGGCACACTCAAATCTTCAGTGGGTGCCTGGAGGGACCCAGGAGCCTGGAACTCAACTCCTAAGTAGGCCCAGTACTACTGGCTTAATAGATGGACAACCGAAATGCCATTTTAGTGTGACATGTCATGAAACTAGCATTCTCTGCCAGTTCTGTCTCTCTGGCGTCTATAGTCAAACTCAACACTGAAAAGCTTCACAAAAACCTCTTGGTACAATGCGCAGGGTAAGTGAATCTACTAGACAAGAAAAGGTGAACTTCAGACTCATCTCAGAGACCATCTGGTTTGTCTCTTTGTTGAATCCTCTAGGACAGTGGTTCTCAACCTTGGCTGCACATTAGAATCACCTGGGAATCTTAGTGTGGCTCTTCCACAAAATACCC